GGAGGTGGGTTTAGTGTCACCCTTGCAGCCCTGCAAGTGCTATCCCAGCTGGCCTCCATCTGCAAACACTCTTCAGGTGCCCCAGGCCAATGTCCCATCCTCTGCAGCTCTTGGTAGAGGCAGGATGGCCAGAGGCAGCAGGCAGGGAGGACCAGGTCCTGCTGGGAGGGCACACTGCAGCAGGGGCAGCTCCAGCAGCACGGGGGAGCTGAGAGAGGGCAAGCCCAGCAAGGCTGGCACAGTGCTGTGGGGTCACAGAGCAGCCCTGGGCCAGCACTGTGCCACCACTGCTGCATCTCCCCATGGCAGAGAGGAGCCCGGGGGAGGACACGGCCACAGCAGCCAGCACCCACCTCTGGGGGCAGCTTTAGACAGGCTGGCTTTGAGCAAGGAGCCAGCTGGGGTTAGCTCCTTTTTTAGGAACATTTCAGCTCTTTCCTGGGGGCAGCCAGAGCTGGTGGAGCTCAGGCAGACCGTGTGTGTGCACTCCCCTTCCTCTGCCTGGAGCCACATCCAGCAGCAGGGCTGGAGCCAAACACTGAGCTGCTCCCTCACTGCTCCCCCCCACCCCACCCTGGGGGGACAGGGAGGAGAAAACACAGCAGAAAGCTCAGGGGTCAAGGCAAGGACAGAGAGGGATCACTCACCAGTTACAGTCATGAGCAAAACCCAGACTCAACTTGGGGAAAAACACCCATCGATGTAATTCGTTACCAATGAAGTCAGAGGGGGATAATGAGAAATACAACCAGATCTTAAAAACACCTTCCCCACCTGCCCCTCACCCTTCTCCCCAGGCTCAGCTTTGCTCCCCACCTTCACCCCTCAGCAGGACAGGAATGGAGGATGCACTCAGTGCATCATATGTTGTCTCCACTGCTCCTTCCTCTGCTCCAGCACAAGGCTCCTCCTATGGCAGACAGTCCTCCACAAGCTTCTCCAACACAAGCCCTTCCCATGGGCTACAGCTCTTCATGAACTGCTCCAGTGTGGGTCCCAGTTCTTCACAAAAAGCAGGCCAAGGTTCTGGATGAGCAGAGCCCACAGCCAGGCCTGGCCAGAGCTGAGCTGGACACCAGCACTCATCCAGCACAACCCCCACGGGGACTGGTGGCTCCAGCTGAGCTCACAGGCTTCCTGAGCAGGCACAGAAAAGAGGTTCCCATGCAGGAGGCTCCTGGGTGTGGGGAGCTGTCAGGTGAGGCTGATAAAGGGCAGGGTTATTGATGCTGCTCTACTGGGAGGTGGTCCTGGAGGTGCCACAGCTGCTCTGGCAGGAGCTGACAGTGATGGATGTGATGGCAATGCAGCCTGTGCCCTGAGTCCGTGGGGTCCCCTGACCTGAGCCCAGCCCCAGGAAAGCCTTCAGCACTGACCAGGCCAGTGTGGTCACAGTGTCTGTGCTGTGTGTGACCTCACTGAGTGGGCCTCACTCAGGACAAGCTCCTGCTGCCCAGGGAATCCTTCCCAGTGCCACCTACAGCCAGCTCTGCAGCAGACACTTGTGGCAGCTCCCACATCTCAGGCAGCCCCCCCTCACCTGGGGGATCCAGAGGAGCTGGATGGGGGCACAGGAGAGACATGCAGCCACAGCAGTTCTTTTTATCCCTAACAATATCATCGAATCATGAAATGGTTTGGGTTGCTTAAAGATCATCTAGTTCCAAACCCCTGCCATAGGCAGGGACACCTCCCACTAGAGCAGGTTGCTCAAAGCCCCATCCCGCCTGACCTTGAACACCTCCAGGGATGGAGCATCCACAGCTTCCCTGGGCAACCTGTGCCAGGGTCTCACCACCCTCACAGTGAGGAACTTCAGCCTTACACCCAAGCTAAATCTCCGCGCTTCCACTCTGAAGCCATTACCCCTTGTCCTACCACACCAATCCTTTGTAAAAAGTCCCTCCCCAGCTTTCTTGTAGGCCCCTATCAGATACTGAAAGGCCACGATAAGGTCTCCCCAGAGACTTTTGTCTTCTCCAGGCTGAACAACTCCAATATTCCTACAAAGTCATATTTCTAGATCTTTTGATGACAAAGAAGCCATTAAGAACAAAGAAAGGCTGAAGAGATCCCATATGGATGGCTGAGGCTATGGACAACCAGCATGGTCCTGAGCTCTGTCCAGGGTTGCAGCCTCTCCTGGGCACATGGTGCATCAGGAAGCAAGAGCTGGCAACAGGAGGGCGACTCCTCCTGGTGCCTTGGACCTGTGGGACCAGCTGTCCCAGCATCCAGTGGACTCCAGTGCTACTGGGGTAGGACAAGCCCTGCACCAGGCAGAGGGAGCTGAGAGCAGGGGAGGTGTGTGGGGTGCTTTCAGAGCCAGGGGTCCAGGCTGCCTGCCAGCCCTGCCATTCACAGCTCAGACCAGCAGCCCAAGTACCCCAGCCCAGGGGATTCTCTCCATCCTTCAGCTTCAGCCCCATCTGTCCAGCTCAACCAGACAAAGAAATCCTTGTCAGGTGAGAGCACAGTCCCTGGTGAAAGCTGTTACCACACACCCAGCCTCTCGTCCTTAACAGGTCTCCAGGAGAGCCTCGGGTCCCACACTAGGAGCATCTGAGCCTCCCAGAGACACAGTGGGACCAAGGACAAGCCACTGTGCTCTTTGTCCTTTGTTGCCCAAATTCCAGCCTCAGCCGTGCTGCAGGAGGAGCTGTTTACTCCTCAAGCCTGGCTCATCACCCCAGCCCTTCAGTGGGTGTGCTGTGGTGTGGGCTTGGCCAGGGACGTGTGGGAGCAGCTACAGTGATGAGCAACTCCTTGGAGAGGTCCTGCTGGCTCTGAGACAGGGTGAGAGTGCTCCTGTGCTGAGGGAAAGTGGAGAACCTCAGTGGTCCTGGCACAGCCACCAAGGGAGACGATGAGGGTGAAGTCTGTTCCTTTCCCTTAGCCCATCTTCCTCTGCACACAAGAGAGGAGCCACCAGGCTCCTGCTGCCCAGCACTGTGGATCACCCGTGGACCTCCTCCACTGCCTTGAGAGGGCCTGGCAGGGCTGGTGGCTTTGCAGAGGATCTCACAGCAGCTTGGGACCAGGGACAATACCTACAGATGTCTAAGCTGGGATCATGGGGGGAGACTGGGATAGGGGACAACTTGGAGAACTCTTTGAGTTGGGACTGGGGACAAGCTGGCCAGACATCCTCATCTGCTGGCAGGGACAGTCCTCTCCACTGCTTTTTGTGGACACCTGCATCTAGAAGGTGGCTTAGTTTCATCCAGAGCCATTCCCCCAAGCCATGCAAGCTGCCTTTCCTGCTCTCTGCCCAGCTGCTCTCATGGACTGTTCTGCAGGAGGAAAAAGGCTTCTTCATTGGATAAACCAGAGAGGCTGTGGAGTCTCCTTCTCTGGAGACATTTAAAACTCATCTAGACACATCCCTCTGTAACCTGCCCTAGGTGAACCTGCTTTGGCAAGGGGGTTGGACTAGAAGATCTCCAGAGGTCCCTTCCAACCCCTTGCTACTCTGTGATTCAGTGATAATCTGAAGAGGAGAAACCATGGACAAGCTTTCCAGCCCAGTATCATCTCAGCCAAAGACACACTTCCCTGGTTTGCAGCTCCTGGGGGAGGGAGGAGCCCTGTGGTACACAGCTTTTGGCACTGCTGCACTGTGTGGGGTCTGGATCTGGATCAGGCAGTGTGCCTGAGGAGCTGCATACCCCCCCACATCCAGGTGGTCTGCAAAAAGCCCAGGCAGCAAAGCTGTAGCCCTTGCTCCCAGTCTGAGTCACTGGGAGGCACGGGCATGGCAGCATGGAGGAAAACCACGTTTCAGTCAGATAAAGGAAAGGTATGACTTTATTCAGGATAATTGGGATTTATTCCTGACAATAGCTCTGGAAGCAGGAATTTGTGATGGAATTCTTTGGAGACCAACAAGTAGAAAGAGGCAAATCAAACAACCAGTGCAAACATCCACGGGATTACGTGTATGAGAATTCACAGCAAACTGTAGAAGGGGATTTTGGTACTAGACCAAAACCTGAAAAAGCCATGTCATAAATACCTGCTCAGTTTGTCTGCTCACCACAAGGACATGTATGTTTCCTGAGGTGCTTCCAGGCAGCGTGCTCTCCCTGGGGTCTTAATGGCAAAGAACCTCCTCTTGGCCTGGCAGGGCTGGGAACAGGCCCAGCATCCCCACTGCCCTCGGCCCAGACAGCCCAAACTGTCTTTTCCAGTGTGTGTTGCTTAATATATGTCAGTTGCTATTTTGGGCTTTCTAGATAATGAGCATGGTGAAGTGTACCCAGAAGCAAAAAGCAGAAGAGCTCCGGGGATGAGTTGCCACCACCAGACCTGAAACAATCCAGTGGTTATTCCTGCACCAGCTTGTGCAGCCAAGCAGCCTTCCAGACGAGCCCAAACACACTTGCAGGGCAGAAATCTCACTGGAGGTGCCAAAGGTGAGCTCAGGTATGAGCTCAGAAGAGTAAGAACTCAGGAACGGGTCCAAAAAGCAGCTTCCAGAGCGTGTGGTCACGTAGAAGCTGGAGGAGGCAGAGCTCTGACTGCCCACGCGTTTGCTTTGCACGTCACCAGCCAGGACCAAGAAAAGCAAAGAGGTGAAGACTGTGAGCCTGGAGCAGGAGCCAGACATGACATGCAGGGACAGTAATCCAGTCAATATTTCCTCCTCCTATTTATATCCCGCAGCATCTGTTCTCATCTCATAACTCTTTGATGACAGAGTAGCCCAAATGATCACGTGAGGAACAAAGCACCCCACAATTAGTGGGAGGTTGCTTGGGCTTGGTTGCCCACGAGGGCATGGGCACACTCACAGAACATTAGGAACAACAAAGCATCTGGAGAAGAACAGAAACCATGTTGCAGAGGAGCCCAGGCTGCTGTCCCTCCACCTTGACCAGGACAGAGTCAGTGTGGGGCTGAGAAAGGACACCTTGAGCATTGCCTGCTGTAACCTGCTCCTCCATAAGCCCTGAATTCTGCAGATCCTGAGAGCAGGACTCGGCCTTTGCAGTGAATCACTACAGCAGGTTGACTTTGGCCACAACCTGCTTGCAGCCCATCCTGGAGTACTCCTTGTCCCCTGTAGTGTAGTAGCTGAGCTGACTTGCTAAGTTTTCAATATGCTTCTGGTCAGGATACAGCCCTTCCCTCCTCATCTCCTCTAGGAAGCAGTTTATAACGTGACTCTTCTCCAGAAGAATGAATGGGATGATGTCTGCAGATTTCCAGAGAGGGTGGACATCGATCAGTACAGGCTGGATGATGCTCAGCAGTTCTTCAGCTCCCCTTTGCTGGTGTAGAAGCTCAGCAGATGCATTCTGGATAACAAACTTTGTTATTTCCCCACCTCCTATGTTGCTTATTAAAATGTAGATGGCGTTGAGGAACTCGTTGGTTTGATTGGGTTCAAAGAATCGACTGAGAGTATCCAGCAGGACTGGAGACATGAGTTCAACCTCATCCAGAATAAACAATGGGATCTTCTCTTCTATTTCAGCTCTTGTAACCATGTCAGAAATCTTCTTAGACAAATCTATTTCACAAGTGAGAGGAGCCACCCCGTCGGGGCAGTGGTGCATAACAAAGTACTGAAGCACAAAGTCATTGTCCATGACAGAACGAAAATGTTTGGCCAGCAGCCAGCCAACGTGACTCTTCCCAACTCCTGTCGGGCCATTTAAAGAGATTACTAGAGGTTTGTTGTGTATGTGGGTAGCCAGATAGTCTTTCAGTAGTTCCATAATACTCTCCACAGCAACCTTCTGCCCAAATACTTCCCGGTGCATTGTTTTCTCCAAACCATCTAGGTCATATTTTTGGAGGTTATCGTCCAGGTTCTCTATTGCGTTGAGAATCTGGAAGAAGATGATGACAATGAGCAAGAGGAGGCAGCGTTTTGCCTTGCTCTTCTCCTCTGCTGGAAGGTACCTTTTTGTTTTGTCAGGATACAGGACTATCCTGGATTTCCTTCGATTCTTTTTCCGTCTGCACTTCTTCAGAGCGTACTGCTCCACAGAGGTGTCAAAGGTGAAGTACCGGGAGGTTTCGAAGCTGCTCTGGTTGAAGAAGGACATGGAAGGGCCATAGAGGCTAGTTCTGTTCAGGGAAATCTGCCTTTGCAGCAGCCTCGTGTGGGCAGCCTCTGACGCCTTCTCTCGGGGCAGCTCCAGATGCAGGCGGCTCTTCTTCTGAACGCGGTAGCGCCGCCGCAGGCAGATGATCGCCCGCAGGGGAGAAGAAAGGGAAGACATTTTCTTCGAAGCAGCAGGGGTGTCAGTGTCCTGTACCTCCTCCCCATCACTCTCACAGCCAGATGCCTCTCCCTTTGCATCGCTCTCGGCACAGGGCGCTTCCCCTTCCCCGTCGCTGTCGGTGCCGGGCACCTCTCCTTCCACGCTGCTCCCGGCACAAGGGGCCTCTTCTGCACTGGCCTCAGCACAGGGCACCTCTCCTGCATCGCCCTCCACCCAGGGCCTCGCCCCTCCCAGGTCCTCCGTGGCAGAGGACTCTCCATCCACCTCAGTGCAGGGCAGCTCTCCATCCATCTCGTCTGGTTCTTACGGCCCATTCACATCATCTTCTTTCTGAAAGAAAAAACAGCCATGTAAATCGATCTTTGTAAGATCAGCCAGTCAATAACAGCCAAATTAGACAGATATCCCACGTTCTAACAGCCAGAACAATTACCTGTAGCCATCAGCAATGACAGGGTGGCAGAAAGAGGCTTTCAGACCTAAGCTGACTTTCTGGAAGATGTTCTAGATGTGCAAAACTACAGGTGAAATTCAGTGTGGACAAGTGCAAAGCGATGCACATCTCAACCCCAGCCCTGCCTTCACACACAGAAGGAAAGCTCAGGGCTGGCTGGGGACTCTGCTACGTGCTGCTGTGAGCAGGACACGGGGCACACAGACACAGGCTCTGAACCAGAGCTGCCCAGTCCTATTTCCTTACATCTGCTAAATTTAAGCCAGACACAAAACCACACCTCTGCAGCAGCGTATGCACACACCCCCATGTACACACCCCTGTGGGAAACAGTCTCTCGTACACCCACGGCGACCTTCGGGCTGTGGGAGATGCTCTTGCCACGCAGGTTGTGGTGGTGGCATCTCCCTGGGTGGGGGCTTTTGCTGGCTGTGCGACGGGTGTTCCAGGCAGCACCGGTCAGTGCCTGCAGGGAGAGGAGGGGAGGGCAGTGTCCAGCTCCCCGGGCTGCCCCGGCCAGGCAGGAGGGCTGGGCTGGGCTGCAGACAGTTGACGTCACTGTGACTAAGCCTTTCGGCAGCACATGGCTGTTGGGAGAGGAGTGGGGCTGCCCCACAGCACCCTGACCCTCCTGCTCCCATGTCCTGACCTCTCCCGTGAGCTCACGCACACACACTCAGCGGCTGCTGGGTCCTGCCCACACGAGACCCTGGAGCCGTGCAGGAGAGCACAAGGACACGAGTATCCCTGGGAGAAACCATCTGGTGGAGGACACACGGACCAACCTCTGCCCGTGCAGAGGGAGGAAGAGGAGAGGCTGTGCTCCAGCAGCGGCATGTGGTGACGAGAGGCACAGACCTGGCGGGGAAGCTCCTGGGGGAAAACAGCTCTCCAGGCCCAGGTACCACAGTGAGCAGGACCCCGTGCACTGCCAGCACCGTGGGCTGGAGCTCCAGGAGCTGTGTCACAGTGGGAGGGAGGCAGGGAGGGAG